CTATACTGGATTTACAAAAGAGGCTTGTTAAAGCTTTGAAGAATTTTGTGAGAAGGGACAAGGAAAAAATGAAAAGAAATCAAGGGACTAAATATCAAGACTATTAGAAGTAAAAGGAAGGAATATAAAGTTGGCTTGTTTGAACAAAGTTAAAATAGATACGTTGTTATTTCTGGTAACCCTTAATGGACTTTTGGTGACCCCAGAACTGAAATGACGATGCTTTATGGATTTGCTTATAGATAAGAGATGGGATACGGGAAGAAGAGATCATTTGTTGTATTTTAAGAGAAGGTGATAAATTACTAAAATTGTTTATACTTGTGATCAAGGGAACATACTTCTTTACATATTTATTTTCCTTCTCTTTACTATATTCTTATTTTTTTCTTTCTATTTTTCTATCTTTTCTCTTTTTTTCTTTTCTGCACCTTCTATTTTTTTCTTTTTATACTTTTCTTTTTTTTAGTTTGTATTATTTTTATTGTTGTAAATTGTAATCTTTAATAAAATTACTATTAAAAGAAAAGAAAGTTTCCAAAAGATCCAGACAGGCTTGAACAAAGAGGCTGAATGAGTCGATGAACAGAAAGTTCTGCCTCTGGATAGGAAGAATGTAAGGCACAGATCTGGGATGCGGGAGACTCGGCTTGACAGTGGTGCAAAGGAATGGGATCTGGATGTCCTTGCTGACCTCAGGTTGAACGTGAGTCAGCAGCGGGACGCAGCTCTTAAAAAGGCCAATGCTGTCTTGGAGTGTCTTAGCAGAAGGATCGATCCCAGGCCATGGGAAGTAATTGTGCTGTTCTTCCATGGTCAGACCCGACTTGGAATACAAGTGGTTAAAAAAAACCAGGCAAATTAGAGAGAGGTTGGAGGAGGAATACAGACCCCTACGAAGAACCGTCTTTAAGCATCTGCTGGGCTAGAGGACAGGAGCAGAACCAAGAATCCTAAAGCGATGTAAGCCCCAAGGAAGCAGGTTCACGCTAAACGTGAGGAGGAGCCTTCTGACTGTACAGACTGTCGGCCCGTAAAACCAACTGCCCTGTGAAGATGTAAATTCTTTACTGGGGGTCTTCGTGGGGTCTGGATGTTCATCTGTCAGAGAAACTCACGGGGGAGAGACTGGACTAAATGGCCTCTGAGAACCCTTCTGACGCTGATTGCGCGACGTCTCTTGAGTTGCCGTAAAGAAGAGGGAGAGATCATTGGGCGGGGTCAAAAGCCACAAGGTGAAACTCTGCGAAAGCAGAATCGTGTTATTAGGAGGAACTCCTGATAGTAAGAGTGTTCCTCAGTGGAAGAGGCGTGTTCCCCTTCACGGGGTTGGATGGCCATCTGTCAGAAACGTTTTACTCGGTCGTGCACCGGACGGGGTGGGACTAGCCGGCCACTGAGATCCCTTCCACCTCTCTGATTCTCTGTGTTGCAGATGCCCAGCGCCTCTAGCAATGGGGAGGGAGTGGGCATCTGCCACGCAGAGGAGTCCCCCCTCCCCCGGCTCCCAAAGCTGGAATACGGGAGACGCTTCCCTGAATTGTTCCTCCTTTGTCCCTGATGGCAGAACGGAGCAGGTAAACACTGTTCGCCATGTTGCCGCGTGATCTCCCAGACAGCCAGACCGTGCCTGGAGGTGATAAACACGGTCGGAGAAAAGAGCTGTGAAAGAAACAGGTAAGGTTTTCATGCACAGAGCACGGTCTCTCTCTCGGGGAGAGCGGAAAGGAAGTTAAGGCGGCTAAGGAACTGGAAGGAGGGGAACTCCCGGAGTGGGAGAGACGGAGAAGAAGGGGGCGGCTGGCAAGCCAAGGGCAGTTTGGTCTGCTGAAGAAATACCAGTTGTGGCACGGATGGAAGACCACTGAAGATCGGTGGGCTCTGGGGTGAATGTAGGTAACTACGAAAGAGGAGGACCAAGCTTTGTGGGATCTCTCTGCCCCGCGCAGAATTCCCAAGGAGAAGATCAGCGTTCTGCCAGCCACGGTGGTCGGTAGCCACGCTTTATCTGAGGCCTTGATTAGATGTAAGGGGAACTTCATTATTGTTACACGGATAACCACAGACTGGCTGCACTGCCTTCGAAGAAGCATTACGGTGCAAACAGGGCAATAGTTAATCGCTGAATGACAGCAATTGGAATCATACAGTGATCTGCTGCTTTACTGAATTTCAACCTTTTTACATTGGTTATGGCAGGAGAACGGGGGTGGGCGTGGGGGCGGGGGCGGATCCGAAGACCCATCTAATTAACCAGCTTTAGCACCATGTTGCTTACTGTGCTGTCAGCCATAAAAGGCAGCCTCTCAGAGGAACCGACTTTTGTCTACCTCGGGCCCTTACAAATAAGTTCCTGCATGGTCTCCCAAGGTAGGCTTTCGCATGTGGGGGTTGGCAGCACTCCCTTCCTTGCCGCGTCTGTGAGCGCAATATCCCATTTTCTGCAGGTGGTGTTACAGGAACAACAGAGTCTCCAGGAGGGTGAGGAAGTGGCCCGGCAACTGATGTGCAGGTTGGGCATAGAGGTGAACGATCTGATCAGTGGGGCTTACCTGGACCTTCTGCTGGCAGGAGGGGAGTCCCATCTGTGACAGTGGACCATCGTGACGGTTGGAGAACATCTTGGGGTCATCTTGCCACTTGGTTGAATAAAATGTGATGGACGCTGAGATGAGCGCACTGAAAAATGAGTGAGCCAGCCTGTTCAGGAAAAGCAGTTTATTTTGTACCTGAAGACCACAGATCCTAAGTTATATCAGATCAAAATTTGTCTTGCCCGAGGAGGACCTGTTCTGACAGAGGTGTCTTTGTGGGAAGACTGCAGCGGGCTTTGTTCCTGAAAAGGAGTTTAGGAGCCCACCCCCATTTCAACTCAGTGATGTGGCACCCCACCCCCACCCCCAGTATGTACAGTTTATCAGCTTATGTGCCTGTGTGGTTTGAGACACATGAAGCAGGTGTAGAAATGCCCAAGTGGCACTCTCTGAAGCTGGAGGGGTCCTCAGGAGCCCTTCTCTGGCTGCCAAAGGAAAAAGCTTTCTTGGATGGTAGCAGCTTCTGGCTAATAAGAGTCTTCGTTAAATGGTCTGCAGGGTACAAGAATCTTTGTAGTTAGGTTCGTAGCCCCAGATGTCTTGCCCCTTCCCCTGTGACTTACATGCTGAAGGATAAAAGGAGCTTTATAGGATTGGCCATCACCAAGCCCTGACTTCGTTCACATATGCTAAACCATGACTCAGTTAACCATGGTTTATTGGGTAAGCCCCAGTTGGCTAGGTTCACACACCAGACTAAAGAGAAGCCAAATCAGCTAAGCTGGCCTAGCTTGTGTGGACCTGGTCCCTCTGCACTGCCCTTTTGAACCTGTGGCAATGGTGGTGCATACTGACCTGGAAGATGGATAGACGTGGTCTGTGAGGTGAACCATTCTTAAAATGCCAGCCTTACAAGTTTGACCTTTCACTGGTGAGGTCAAATGCTGAGGGCGACCAGGCATCCCTTCTGCCATCAAGAGACTCCCCTCCGTGTGCCAGTGGCAGAGAGAGGAAGGCTGGACTTCTTAGGTGGCCACATATTTTGGTCTTCTCGGATGCTGAAAGGGCTGTCTTCCTCTCCAACCATCCTGGGGATTTTTTTTTTAAATATCCACTGTGGCGCATTGGTGTAACAATCTGCCCCACACAACTCCCAACTTCAGTAACTCTCCTTGCAACCAGTAATGATTCAAAAGAAAGTTCATTTATGGGGAACAAGTGTACAGTTCCAACGCATTGCTAAGACTGAGCCCGCCCCTGCCAAAAGTTGCATTTACCCTTTTTTCTCTTTCTCCCTTGCACCCCCTAACCTCCCAGTCTTCTCACACTCGCTCGTTGGTACGACTTTGAGCATTCCTCGGTCTTTGATAACAGCCCATCTGCCTCTAACGGTCATTTCTTCCATCCATCCTTCCAGCTCCTTCCAGCACTCCCCCCCCCCCCCCCCCC